AAAAAAAAAAAAAAAAAAAAAAAAAAATTATACATCTTCGATTTTTTTCTGCAGATCAACGAGAGGCCTCTCAAAATCAAGAATAACCGGCTTAGGCTTTTCTGTCAAAGGCTTGAAAGGTGAGAGATGCCTAAGAAATCCACCCTTCAAATCGGTGGGGTTCAGGTCAGGATCGATTGGCCATGGATGTTCGCGCTTTTTCATTTTCCCGAGCTTTGCTGTCACAGAAAAGTCTCTCCTTACTACGCCTAATTGTGCTTTTCCAAGCACTTTTAGAGGTACACCACAGACACCATTATTTGAGCTCCTAAGAAAATCCGAAGCAGGGAGTTTCGAAGCTAAATTCCCAGAAAATGACACTGGAGATTGGGTCATGGAAGCCATTTTTTTTTTCTCTGTAAAATCAGAATCATACATAACATGTTGCAGTAAAGAAAAAATTAGGACTACAACGAGAAATCACCAAATTAATAAGGCATTGAAGACAAAGAACATGAGTCGCTGATGAATCAATCAGGATTCTGAAAACATAAGATTCAGCAAAATATCCACAGCTACGAACAAAGAACGGTTCTTGTATGAGTATTTCATCTTAACCGACCTCCTATGTATATGTAATATGCCATTTAATGACAAAAACGAATTAACATAAATGGCATTCAGATTCTCAATTCAGCAAACCCCACTACAGAAGAACAATACATAATTAAATATAGTCCACCGAACACTAGACAATTCGATAAGATCAACTAGAAGAGCCAAGGACTAAACAATGCATGCAGTATCTTGAGCTTCAACAAGGCAAGAGCACATGGATCAGTTAAAAAAGACTCCATCTTTAGCCACCAAAAAACCTTAAAAGTCACAACCAAACAGCTACCCAACGGCCAACACAAGCAAATTCATTCACCGGACATAACAACAACAATAACAGAGCTCCCGGGCAAAGACAAAACAATCGAATCAAACGAACCCACAAAACCACATTCCCCAATCCCAAATCCAGAATCAACAGCACAAACTACAAACCGGCGCGCATCCAGCATTCAACATAATCAAAACGAAAAAAACAAACAAACAAAATCGACAACAAAAAACCCACCTACAAAATCGAATGCGGGAAGAAATCGAGAACCCACCTCGAGAAAACCGATACGGAAAATGGGATCTGAGGAGGCGGTCGGAGGAGGGGCTGTAAATCCACCTGAGCTCAACGAGAATATGAACCGAGAAAGAAAGAAGGGTTACAGAGAGAAAGGGGGCATTGGGGAGATCGTCATGCTGGAGCTAAAAGCTTGAGTTCTGATTAACACCCCACAAATGGAGAAGGGCAGAGTTATATATTATACAGCCTGTATGTATGTATCTGTTTTTCGATGGTTTCTATGCGAGCCGGAAGTGAGTAGAGAGAGAGAAGTGGAGAGAGAGAATAGAAGAGAAAACCTACCAGAGTGCTTTGGAGCAGCGTTTTTCGGTTTTGCCGTTAAATTAAAAACCCAACGCACGTTTTTCTCATCAGAAAAAGCGCTTTTCTTCTTGAATCTGATCCGCATTTTTTCAATGTTTTTAACTTTTTTTTTATTATTTTTTTTTTTAATTTTTTTAATGTGGATATAAATGGTAGTATTAGTTGGGGACCTTGGGGTTGAACTCGTTAACTAATCAAGTCCATAAATTGTGAGATCGACTTGTTAAATAAACTTAAAGAGTTTGAATCGAGACTTTAATGAGTCAAACTTACTTAATTGTTCAAAAAAAATTTATAAAAAGGTTCATAATTCTATCAAATGAAGTTAAGAGTTTTTTTTTCCCACATAGAAGGCTTGAAAGGTGAGAGATGCCTAAGAAATCCACCCTTCAAATCGGTGGGGTTCAGGTCAGGATCGATTGGCCATGGATGTTCGCGCTTTTTCATTTTCCCGAGCTTTGCTGTCACAGAAAAGTCTCTCCTTACTACGCCTAATTGTGCTTTTCCAAGCACTTTTAGAGGTACACCACAGACACCATTATTTGAGCTCCTAAGAAAATCCGAAGCAAGGAGTTTCGAAGCTAAATTCCCAGAAAATGACACTGGAGACACCATTATTTCAATGTTTTTACTTTTTTTTTATTATTATTTTTAATTTTTTTAATGTGGATATAAATGGTAGTATTAGTTGGGTACCTTGGGGTTGAACTCGTTAACTAATCAAGTCGATAAATTATAGTGAGATCGACTTGTTAAATAAACTTAAAGAGTTTTGAATCGAGCCTTTAATGAGTCAAGCTTACTTAATTGTTCAAAAGAATTTATAAAAGATTCATATTTCTATCAATTGAAGTAAGAGTTTTTTTTTTTTTTCCTTCCAAATTGGATATCAAAAGCTTTTTTTATGCATGTTTTTCAACAAAGTATACCTTTCCAAAACATGGACACAATCAGTTATAGGCCTTTAACATTGTAACATCGGATATTCAATTTTGTACGCAATTATAGGATTTGCCAATCATATTAAGGTGTTTTTGAGTTCGGAGAATCAACTCAAGTACGGTTATGTACCATAAAATTGCATAGTTTTTGCTCCATATTGATGGAAGTACACTCTTTCCTCTCAAATATATATATAAAAAAAATTATGCTACTTATTTGGCTATTAGTAAATAATGGATAGCAGATAGCTAATTATATTAGTGATAGCTAATAGCAAATTGTATAGCTTTGACAATCGGTTGTGTTGCCTTGTAAATATATGTTTGGTAATATTTTGGAAATTTCATGTTAATATGTTATCCTACCAATTACTTTTTCTCTTCTAAAAATAACCCCGATATTGAGTTTTTTTTTTCATAATTATCGTTTTGAGCTAAAAACTAATCAAATAAGTTATTTATCAATCAAGCTAATTACAAATTTGACGAGTCAAACCTCGAAATAAAGGTTTAACTTGCTAATTTAATACTAATCCACTAACATCCAAATATGACCTATACCAAAATTATTATTTTTAAGTCTTAACGAGATTTATAAAATAAAAAAGTCGAGCCCACCTTAATAACTAAACGACAATATAAGTCAACACGTTTTATTAAATAGGTCGGGTCGAGTTATAGTGTTAATGAGGTGATTCGAGTTGAGTCAATTTCAGGAACGAACGCGTTTATTTGACAACTCGTAAGTTGTAAGCAAACTCTTAGCGGGAAGGAATTTTAATTAACCAAAGTTGGGAGCCTTTTAGTTAAATTACAAAATCATACTTTCTTCTATCCATTTCGCCCCCAAAATCGGTGCGACATTTCGTCGAACACCCAACAGTCGGCAGAACTCCATGGCCGGCGGCAGCCACTCCAACGGTAATCCTCCCAAGCGCGTTTGTGCTAATTTTTCATATTTTTTTCCGGTGGTAATGTGCCGTGCTATTTATCAAAACAGAAGATATTCTCCAGCAACTCCGGCAAGGCATCGCGAGGTTCGAGCTCACGTCATCGCCGGTTGCTCCGATTTCCGGCCACATCCCTCGAAA